TGGATTGGGATAACAGTTGTATGAGCCCCTAATAAAATGTTAAAAAAGAACAAAAAGAAAAAGAAAAAAAGAAAACAAAACAAAAAAAAATACAAATAAAAATAAAAAATCGTGCCTGTACACAATGAGGAGGAGGTGAGCACATGACTGAGACACGGTACTTAAGAGTAAAAAGCAACAACAGTAAATACTTCTTTGTACACAATCCTGCAACAATGGTAATAGCAACGAGATTTTACGAGTAGGTACATAAGGCAATCTGTAAACTGAAAGGAAAAAATGGTTGGGAAGCCATCTCCATAGTGTGGTGCTGGCTGCCCTTGAGTTGATTGTGACTGATGGTGACACCATGCTCCGAACAGAACTGTTCCATCGGGTTGCCAAGGCTGTGATCTTGCAGAAGCAGAGTGCTAGGCTTGTCTTTTGAAGTGCCTCTTGTTGAGTTTGAACTGTCAACCTACTTACTACCCGCCGAGTGCTTAACCACCGGCATCACACAGGAAGCTTCTCCATAAGTCTTGGAGAGCGGTAATACGAGCATAATCTAGGGGAGTGGCAGAGGAAATCATAAAAAATATATGGAAAAATGGTAGCTATTTCAGTCTTTCACAAGTATATATTTTTATCTATTCTCTGAAGTTAGAAGCCCTGGTAGTGTGATGGTTATGCCTTGGGCTGCTAACCACAAGGCCAGAGTTTGAAACCACCAGCCAGCTTCAAGGGAGAAAGATGAAGCTTTTTAGTTCCATGAAGAGTTACAATCTCAGCAACTCACAGGGGCAGTTCTACCCTCTTCTGTAAGGTCACTTAGGGTCATCTGAAAGCACAAGGGCGATATTAACAAAAACGAGGTATCAGGTTTGGCTTTGGACATTCCGAGTTCAAAAGATAGCTGAGAAGTTTGTGTAGGAGGTAGTTCAAAAGTAGATAAAAACTCAGGTGCATAAAGAATCCTAAACCGAACTATGAGATTTTTGTAAAATAAAGGGATTCTCAGAAGGCTGGGTAAAATGAGAATATAGACTTCCTACATTCTTCTTTAGTGTGGACTGCCCTCATGGTGGTGTAAGTTAGATGTTGAACTGGTTGCTGGTCCCAATCTACCAGCTGCTCTATGCGCCCCGAGACGAGGCCATCTGCACCCATCAAGATCTACAGTCTCAACCTTATGTAGGGCTGCTGTATGGTGGAACTCACTTGATGGCAGTGACTGGATGGGCTTTTAAGTGTAGGCTAATCTGAACACGGATATATCAACTCCCAGTTGAAAATCCAATTTTGATTTCTTTTCGAAAAGCTCGACTCTTTCCCATATGTTCTGGGCATCAGCTACAAAATCAGAATTATTAAAATTTCCTACACATTTAATGTCTGGTACTTGTTAACGTAGAAACAATAAGTAGACCTTTTAATGATTTTAGGAGATTTTATGAAAGTAAACATAACCTTACCTTCTCATAATGGGTTTCCATGCATAAAAAGATGGTGTATGCTGTTAAACATGCTAAACAGCCTTCAAGGTATGATTGGCCCCCAAGCTTCTCTGCTTCTGCATAAAGGTTATTTAGAGTTCGAACTGTTTCTTCAAATTGTTGTCTATCAATCTGTTAGGAAAAAGGAATTTAAAAACTTGTAATTTTGCTGGGGAAATCAGCAACTCACTAATGCTTGCTATCATTAATTTACTTTGGTGTTTTGACAATTCAAATAAGCCTCACTTATCAACTATTTTATTATCTGACATTTTACATGGATTAAATTAGGAAGTTTACTATGTTTTGTGCATTAATAATGTATGCCTGGCAGTCCTACCTGCCAAGGTGCGAGGCATGAGGTGGGATGTTAGCTGGGATGACTAATTAGCCAGTGTGGCTAGACCATGATTCTCTGTGGTTTGGCAGTTATGTAACCATGTTTGTATCGTCTATCTTTGATCCTAAGTGGCTACCTTCCATTTTAACATTCATGCTGATTTTCACATATAGTGATATATGTGAAACATATAGTTGTATAGTGATATGAATTTCATTTTCCATATCATTTTCCAATCTCATCTTTGGAACCTAACCACGATGATAAATGAGGATGTACAAAGGGACTTCAAAATGGTCGTGAAAAATGAAATTTAAAGATAACAGAATTTTCCCACAAACTTTTAGAAGCCTCTTCCAATTCCTATCTAACTGTTGTTGTTACTAGTTATGGAAATGACTCAGTCTTATGGTAACCCTCATGCACATCAGAGTAGAACTGTTTACCATAGGGTTTTCAAGGTTTCAGAAGTTTGTAAAGTTTGTAAAGTTTCAGAAGTTTGCCCTCTGAGACACTCTTGGGTAGGTTTGAACTACCAACCTTTCAGTACGTAGTCAGTGCTTAACTGCCTGCCCCACCCAGGGGCTCTAACTCTATCTTTATCTAATAGCTAACACTCTTTTTAAGTGAGAAAGCCTGAACCTCCTGAAACTCTTTAGGCTTTAACATTACAGCTCTTACAGCCACTGAACGTCTTCACATCTCAATGTTAAGGTTGCCTCAGAGGTGACCTGATAGCAACTGGTTTTGGAGACCCTGGGTGGCACTTGGGTAACCATCAGCCATCTGCCAAGATACTACAATGGGCCTCAGCGAAAGTGGAATGAGATACTGTTCCAGTCCTCAGAAGTTTAGCTACGAGAGCAGAAGAGATAAGTGTGTATAGTAACATAATAAACTGACAGGGTGTTAAAAGAGAACCATAGATAAAATACAAAGGGGCTTAAAAACGCTCATGGAAAAATAGAATTAAAAGATAATGGAACATTTCCTTAAATTTTTTGAAGTGCCCCCCTATAGTGGAGATACAAAAGGAAGGAAATGTTCCCTTTATCTAGTGAGAGTAGATGATCTTCAACAGAATTACTTATAAACTGGTACTTCGTATACAAGAGAAAAGGAAGAACATTAAGCAGAAGGATCAAGCAGTACAAGCTTATATTCTGTTTATTCAAACTTCCCTCTTTGGGCAAACTAACAAGATGTTTTATTATTGTTGTATAGTGATATGAATTTCATTTTCCATATATATCAGATGCTTCTCAGTTCTTCATGCATTTGTGTTTCTTCAAGGATCATTTTTATGTAAAATCCTTTAAAATTTTAATCCTTGAAAAATTTGTTAGTATATTTGCCTCAACTGTTTTTAGATATTCTCTTAACTTCTGTTACTGAAAAGCTCACACTGCACAAGGCAAAATCCTAAACTACCACATATTTTTTCAAACAGACTTTTCCGTTACCTACTCCTATTCAGTGACACTGAAGAGCCCACTACACATTGAGCTGCTAACCAAAAGGTGAGTGGTTCAAACCCACCAGGGTCTCTGAGGGAGAAAGACGAGGTTGTCTGTTCCGGTAAAAGTTTCAAATCTCAGAAACTCAAGAGGCAGACCTACTGTCCTGTGGTATCACCATGAGTCAGAATTGACTCTTGAGCAGTGGTTCTCAACCTTCCTAATGCTGTGACCCTCTAATACAGTTCCTCATGTTGTAGTGACCCCCAACCATAAAATTATTTTCATCGCCACTTCATAATTGTCATTTTGCTACTGTTATGAATCGGGCGACCCCTGTGAAAGGGTCATTTGACCTCCAAAGGGGCCGTGACCCACAGGTTGAGAAGCGCTGCTCTATGGCATAGTTTGACTTTTTTTTTAATTCAGTGCCACTACCATCTTAATTTGTATTAATACTACTATGGTCATCTAATTTCCATTCAAACCATCTGCTTCTACTTTCCTCTTCCAATATCACTTCTCCCATCCATGCCTTATAGATTTCAAATCTCAATACATTATCCTTGGGCTTTCAAAACCCATTAGCAGGGCATTTCATCTAATACTATTGTTCTTAGTAACAAACCACTACTTATCTGTTGTCATTTTGGGCTGTCTCTCTTATAATGCTTCCCTCATTCCTACAAATAACTGCTTATATAGAATTCTCTCTTTTATGAACTCTTCCTTTGTATACAAAGACAGAAAAAAACTAAGGCCATGGTCAAATACAAAAGTGGACTTGTAAACACTGAAAGTCAAAAGGCAGAAAAATACTAACAATTTATAAATTATCAAGGGTTCATGAGGGAGGGGGGAAAATGAGGAACTGATACCAAGGGCTCAAGTAAAAAGAAAATGTTTTGAAAATGATGATGGCAACATATGTACCAATGTGCTTGACAAAATGGATGGATGTATGGACTGTGATAAGAGCTATACAAGCCCCCAATAAAATGATTAAAAATTAAAGAAAGTCAGAAGGGAAACAGAAATCAGGCTGTAATTTTTGCTACTTGTTGAACTATGTGGTAGAGAGCCTGATGCTGGCGCGTAAGATGATCGCAGTGGCAAGTCAACAGGTAATCTCTACGGACAGATGAAGAGACATATTTTAAAAATGATTTAGGGAAATGTTTCAATTCTGAGTCATTGTTTTTTATCTACTCCCTGGGTGCCCAAGATGCCTGTCGCTATGAGCTGTGAGCTGCCTGAGTCCTTGCAACTTATGGTAACTCCAGGTGTGCAGTAGACCTGTTCCATGGGGTTTTCAAGAGTATGAGCTTTTGAGAACATGTTGCCTGGCCTACCTTCTGAGGCACCTCTGGGTGGCAGCTCAGTGCCAACCAGAGGCAAGTAGTCAACTTCACAGCAAGTAGTCAAGCACATAGTTGCATATACCACCCATACCCCGAGACTCCTAAAAATGTCTACATTTTGGCTAAAACTGAGAGTAAAGCTTCCTTGCAAGAACTGTGGCAACAAAACAATAAGCATCAAAGTATTCTAGTCCAACAGGCAGCGGGGAAAGTCAATACAGCAAGTTTGGCCACAGGCGGAACTTGTCCTCACTTGCAAATTAAAGGGTAAGCATGTGGTTAAAAACAAAACAAAAACGCTGAAAAGTAATGCAAGACATTTGTGTATTAGTTTCTTCCTATTGTAAGTTGCCAAGTGTGATAGTCTCACAAAAGGAAAACCAACCCCAGTGGTAGAGCAATCAGTAACATTTTTAGGGTAAGTAGTAACAAAAGAAAGAAATCTTTTAATTTTCCATCAAACAAAGCAAGAAAAAAATCTAAACCTGTAATTTAAATTTAATCTCAACACGGGGAAAAAATGAAAAGTTTTCCAAAGCTGTTTAAAGTACAGGCTAGTGTTTTATGCCAAGCATTTAAAAAGGATAAAAATGAAAGGCACAATTGAACAGCACCAGTTAACATTTCATACATTACCACAAGCAGTTCAGTCCTGGGCTACATGAAATGAAAGAACTAAAAGGATTCCAGAATTTAAAAACACCGATTTCCTGTAGGAACTAGTGGAGGGATAACGATTGTATTGTTTTATTCTGACTATAAAATGAAAGTTCTACCACACACAGAGAATAGAAGGTTGGTGTCTCATTCGGCACACTTATATTTGACTAAAGTACAGATTAGAAATCTGACATAAAACCTAAACAAAAGAATCTTGTGAATACAAAATGTGTGGTGAAAAAGAGTTTATATTTGGATATGAAAGAACACGAACTGGGTAAGTCATAGTTTCTATTAGAGGATTAAAAGTAAAACATTTGATCCATTTCAGATAAGTCCTAACATGTAAAACATGTTACCTGTGATGTCAAACTATTTTAAAAAACAGCATTGGCAGCTTAGGATAATAGGCAACTTGCTCAAGCTGCTCACAGCACTGTGGAAATGCCAGGTCTAACACCTTGACAACCCACTCCCGGTATTTTGTGTGATGTCTCACAACTCGTATTTGTACACACCACCTTCATAAAGCTAGTATGGTTTTTAGATCAAGAGGCACGCTTGGCCCTGTAGCCTGCCCATGGGAAGAACGCAAGCTGAAGGAAAGGAATACGGAAATTGGTGCTTTGTTACTCGCCCCCCCCCCCCCAACCCTAGGAATCAAGTACAACCACCCACCTAACTACAAGCTAACTCTAAGTGACTGCTACACATTTCTCTCGCACACACTCATCTATGCCCACTTATTCCATGACCGGTATTTAATTCCACACCCATGTCATACCTAATCACCTCTCAATCTGAGCCACAAAGCTTCCTCCCATCTAACTAGTAATTGACCTCTTAACAGGAAATAGAGTCTACAGGATACACAGCTCAAGACCAAAGGAATTCATCTTTGGGTGTATGCATATTAGTGGCACAAGAAACACACCCACCCACATCCACCACTGTACCCTTACAAGAAAGTACAGGGCTTTTTTAATTAAAAAAAAAAAAAGGCAGGCCTAAAGAACACTGAAATAAATCCCATTTGTCCACTTTTGAATGCCAGGCTGCTTAAAGGTCTGTTCTAAAGGCAGTTTGATCTACAAGTCAAGGCTGGTGATCCTAAGTGGGAGTGACTAGTTGACAGCCTTGTTCTGAGATATCCAGTCTAGGCCCCTCTGTGTCCCAATGTTTTTCAGGTCTCACGGGGGTCCGTGTACCCGGCCCGGAGTGTGGCCAGCACATGCCATAAGGGCCAGTCATCAGAATGATTTCTCTTGTGTGGTGAGGGAGGATTATAGTTCATAACTTGCTGGGCGTGATGGCCTGGGACCAGGGGATGCTCCCCATCACGGCCCTCAACAACTGGGCGGGGGGGCGGAGACTGCTGGACATCAGAGATCCAGCCAGGGGCTTGCTTTCACACTTCCTCTGCCAACATCACGTCTTGCTCAGTGGCCCTCTCCGTACACTTTGGGCCCAGGCCCCTCTGCCTTCCCCTTCCCAGGGCCGACAGACCCTTAGCCGGCCCGGTGTTGGCCCCGAGCCTCCCCTTCTAGGGGCGTCTCCCCCTCTCGGCCCAAGGCAGGTGCGGGGAGCCAGGCAGCGTACCCGGTTCTCCAGCTCGGCGGGGAACTTGGTCTGGAACTGGCAGCGTGTGCCGCTGCTGTAGTCTCGCTGGATGAAGACCTTCCCGGACACCGGCGCCTGCTGCGGCCTCATGGCGAGGACAGGATGGGCCGCGCTGCGGGTTCGGAGGGACACCAACCACGGGTCAGAGCCGTGGCCTGGAGCCGGGACTCCGGCCCGCCAGCCCTTCGGACCCACCCACGGTCCAGAACAACCCCGGGCCTCCCCCGCCCCACTCCCCCTCGCCCATGCTGTCCCGACAGGCCTTTCGCTGCCGCCCGGCCCCGGGCCCGCGCCCCCCACCAGCCGGGTTCGGCCCGGGAAACACGAACCCGCCTCCTCGGCCCTCCAGCCGTTGTCGCGCTGCTTCCCCGTCACTTACGTCATGCCGCAAAAGGCCTCTTGGCCCGCCCCTCCAGTAGGCCCCCCCCCTCCTACCGCAAGTGTCGGAGCCACCCCGAGCTCCGGCCGTAAAGTGACTGTGCCGAGGCCGCGCGTCGCGGGCTGGGTCTCCGGGCGACTCCGCCTCTCGCCCCAGTAGCCCTTTCCGGAAGGCAGAGCGGGGCCTGGCGGAGCGACGGAGATTTGCCGGGACTGGAGGCGACGGCAGGGTCCAGGCGTGTGACACTCGTGATTTCCCATCGAATCAGTGCCCGTTTTTTAAAAATCGTTTTATTAGGGCCTCATACAACTCTTATCACAATCCATACATACATCCATTGTGTCAATCACATTTGTACATCCATTGCCCTCATCATTCTCAAAGCATTTGCTCTCCACCTAAGCCCCCGGCATCAGCTCCTCATTTTTTCTCCTCCCTCCCCGCTCCCCCTTCCTCATGGGCCCTTGATAATTTATAAATTATTATTTTGTCATATCTTGCCCTGTCCGACGTCTCCCTTCATCCACTTTTCTGTTGTCCGTCCCCCGGGGAGGAGGTCACATATACGTAGTTCCTTGTAATCGGTTCCCTCTTTCCAACCCACCCTCCCTCTACCCTCCCAGTATTGCCACTCACACCACTGGTCCTGAAGGGATCCTCCGCCCTGGATTCCCTGTGTTTCCAGTTCCTATCTGTACCAGTGTACATGCTCTGGTCTAGCCAGACTTGCAAGGTAGAGTTCGGATCATGACAGCGGGGTGGGGGGTGGGGGAAGAGGGGGAGTATTTAGGAACTAGAGGAAAGTTGTAATTTTTCATCGTTGCTACATCGCACCCTGACTCTGCAAGGGGATCTCCAGTGGCCTACAAATGGGCTTCGCACTGCCCCCCTCATTCACCATGGTAAGATTTTTTTGTTCTGATGATACCTGATAAGGTAACCAGACGTCCCGCTTTTGGCGGGACAGTCCCGATTTTTAACAATTTTTCCCGTGTTCCACAGCGTTTTTTTAAAAAGTCGCGATTTTTGGAACGAATGCACAACAAGCTTGGGTATACGGTTTTCGGCTGCCATGTGGCTATTTCACCAGGATATGAGTTTTATCAATGGTGTTCCGCTTTACCAATATTAAAATCTGGTCACCTTACTGATACCTGATCCCGTCTATTAAATTGGCATTCTGTGATGCTCACTTTCCTGACACAACCACTGAAGACAAAGCGGGTGAATAAGCAAATGTGGTGAAGAAAGCTGATGGTGCCCGGCTATCAAAGATATAGTGTCTGGGGTCAAATCAGTACCCTTATTGTGACGAAGAAGTTTCTGAACACCGATGAAAGGGGTTGTTGTCACTGTGGATCGGACCTCGCAGATTACAGGTGGGACACCACTCAACACTTCAAAACAAATTGCTCACATCAAGCTGGAAAAACCCGGCTGTTGGGGATCTTCCTCACTTGCAGGAGGAAGACAAGAGATGAAGAGTCTGCCTGCGATTCAACAGGCATCTCTCCTGCAACTCTTTTTTTCTTCACATACTCCAAGGATTTTCATCAAATATGCTGGTCTACTCTCCTTTGGGTGACCCCACAAGCAATTCTCGCCTCATCTTTGTTAGCATCCTTTTTCCCAGGCAGCTAAAGAAACTCCCTATTTTTGGTGCATTTTGGTAGCTCCTGGATTATAAAGTTTCTTGGCACCACAACCTGGTTAAAAAAAATGAAGCTCTTAAAGGTATTTTAAAACAGTTTTATCAAGATGTCACTGACATGCAGTAACAGCACATACATACTTAAAAGAGGACAATTTGCAAAGTTCCGACATTGTAGGTTGTCCATTACATTCCAGCTCCTGGCAACCGTGGTGCTGAGAGATGTTTTTAAGGTGGGGACCTTTCAGAATCAGAGCAGTAGGCCTGTCTGCTGATTCATGTATGGGTGCCTTTGAATCACTAACCTTTCAGCTACTGGTAGAACACTTAACTGTATCAGCCAGAGACTCCCGGCACACGATTTGTTAGGTACCCTCTGAGTCGGGTCGACCTTATGTACAACGGAAGGAAACACTGCCGGATTCTGGCCTATCACACTGTATCAATCTGTCTCATCAGGAGTCTCTCCCTTTTTCATTGCCTTTCTACATGACCAGGCATTATGCCCTCCTCCAGGGACTGGTCTCTTACAATAACACGTTCAAAGTACTTGAGCCGGAGACTTACCATCCTTGTTTCTAGGAGCATTCTGGCTGTACTTATTCCAAAGCAGGTCTGCTTGTTCTTTCGGTAGTCCATGGTACTTTCAATATTCTTCATTAGCACCATGTTTCAAATACATCCATTCTTCTTCAGTCTTCCTTATTTAATGTTCAACTTTCACATGCAGATGAGGCCCTTTGAAGATACCATGGCTAGTGTATTAGTCTAGGTACTTT